CCACCCCGCCGGCTGGTGCTTGCTGCTGCTGCCGCACGCTTGTTAGCAACCGCTGTTTGTACCGAAACACTCTTCTTCATTAGGGTAAATTAACTAAAACAGCAATCAAGGCGGAAGGAGAGGCCTAGGTATTTGCAGGCGTGGCTCCTCCTCAGTGCCTGGGTCGGTGCCGAACGATTCCTGACGCCCAGCTGCTTTCTGCCGACTGCCCCGTGCCAGTGCGATGCAGTGGGGTCCCCCCCGGCATCACCTGTCCTCATCACCCCCGGCAGCTCCCGCTGCAGGAGCTTCCCAAAACCTCATCTGTGCTTTGGGATGGCTTCTTTGATTTTTCTGTTAGTGACTCCCCTCCGTCCAGGAGTCCATAGTGGTATCCTTAAGAAAAGCCCTCTTAGAAAACGCTGGGAACGCAAGGAGAAACGGAGCTCCTGTTGGTGTACTGATGGGAAGCCAGGCAGGGACACTCATTAAGGGGAAAAGGTTGGATTTCCTCTGGTTTTTGTGGCTCACAGAAGTAGTTATTATAGAGAAAAATTTGCTGATGCCCTGGTAGCAGCTGGGTCAGCATGGCCCCGGCGCCAGGGACAGCAGCGCCGGGTTTGCAGCAGGGGTTTTTATGGAGAAAGCCCCTTCCCCCTTGCCTAGGGGAGATGTGCCCCAGAAATACGGCATCAAAGCAGGTTCCTGTCAAAACCCTAGGTGGTCCCCGCTGTGGACCTCAGAAATAGTAAGGCAGATGTTTACAGAGCAGGAGCAACAGCCCTCAGACCGCGTGCCTGCCCCACACAGGGGCTGTGTGTGGACCTGGGCTGCAGCATCGCCCCTAGGGAAAGGGAGCCCCAAAGGCTCCAGGGGATGCAAGAGGTGGCTCAAGGGGATGTGAGAGGTGGCTTAAAACGATGCAAGAGGCAGCTCCTGGCAGCAAACCTGCTGCAATCCCAGATGAAGGACAAGAGAAAGAGAAAGAAACGTGCTAGCCTGACTTCCCTGCTCCCTTTCCCCTCTTTCTTTTAATTACTAGCTTGGTGGCGGTGAGGCGGATTTGTCTGAAGAGACACAAGATGCTGAAATTCATTACAGCTCCTATGGCAGGCAGAGAAATGATGTCAGCGGTGCGATGCGGCGCGGCGGGAGCCAGGCAGCAGCTCCGGCGGCCGCCGAGCAGAGGGATGCCTTCTGCTGGGGCTGCTCCTCACGTCAATGTTTTCGTTGCGAATGCGATTTGATTTGGAGTTTGATGTGCTTGTTTTTACTGTGCTGATCCCCAGCTGGGCTGCCACTGTAAAAGCTGGCTGTGCCTCCATCGTCAGCCCTCCTTAAAGGGATTTAAAAGCCAGGCACAGAGCCGAGAGCGAGAGCTGGTCCCGGTGCCGCTCACGTGGGTCCGGCTTCAGCAATCTGGCCTTGTGCCTTTGCTGTTAATTTTGGGCTCTTTTATTTTTAATCTTTCCATTTTTA